TGCGCTTAAGCTTGTTGATGATTTTAGTGCCGGGGAGGGCGTTGCAATGACAGCCTTGGAGACCTACGGCTTGCCACAGAAAAGTCCCAGCAAACTTTCAACAGACCAGGCCCCACAAGTTCCCCTGCCCAGATGCCCCTCCCTGACCAGCAGGGACCATCTCCAGGCCCAGGACGATAGCTCACTTTCCATGGCCCATTCACGCTTCGGCTCCTTTGCTGGCCAGTTTGTGAGGGTGGTTTTGGTGATGTGGACACCGGGGCCAGATCCTGGACTGGTGTAAATTAGCGTAGCTTCATTGAAGTCCATGGAGCAAAGCTGATTCACATCATCTGAGTCTCAGCCCCCAGATTCAGACAACAAGCCATGTTCGGTCTCTCTGTATCCATTGACTTCAGTGGTGTTTTGACTAAGCACAGGAAATTGCCCGTGCAAGTTGTCAGCATCACTTTGAATATTCTAATCACAATGGTAATAACTACAGTTGTCTTTGGAAAGCCCCACAGGGCACTTAGGATGCTGCAAGGACAATTATAATGCAATAATCACGATATTTAAAATGCCATGAAACACACCACACAAACCCCAAGCAATGTTTAAGAACCCAAACCTCAGCATCATAAACCAAATAAGAGAGGGACTTAGGGTAAGATCCGCCCTAATTGAAATACTGAAAAAGCTGATTTCTAACTTTCCAGATAACACAACCAGCAGCAGTTACAGCATATAATAATCTTAGGCCCTTATCCTAGAAAGGAATCTGCACGGGCAGTCCCCTGTGTCTGCATGTAACTTTATTGATGGACACTACAGAGCGCTCAGTATAGGCTCAGGGTCCTAGAATGTAGGGTGTGGGTAATTATTCAACCTATACACATAATAAAATCTGAGAAAAGAGCTCTGTTACCCAAGAACTGGACACACAAGCACCTCTTCTGCTGGTCAGTTACACAGGTGTAAATCCAGAGCAACTCCCCTGATCGGAATGGAGTTACTCTGAATCTATGCTGGTGTAAGGGACAGCAGAGTTGGCAACATAACAAGCTGGTTCCAGCTGAAAAGTACTCAGAGAAACACCTGGTACAGTGACAGCCAATCCAATCAGCCATAGGCTGTCATACTACTACTTTACGGTGCACCTTTCATCCAGCTGTGGTTATTCTGCATGTCAGACTATAGCTCTAAATCATAGAGCCTGGACTGGCAAGAGTGTTTGGGTGTTTTTGCTGTTGTGCCTTTCCACCTCCTCAGCACTGATTTGGGCTTGACCCAGGCAAAATTCAAAAGGAGGTTGGACCGAAAACAGTCTCTGGGATGGGGCCCTCTAAGAGCTGCCGTTTAAGGATAATAGGAAGAAAAAGCAAATCCAGTCTGTTTCCAACAAGAGAAGGAAATGGAACAAAGGAACCAACAGAAAATTCTGCTTACACACCACTACTTGCCACCGTCCACAGCTTTGCTAAGGGAACCTGGCCGGGGCTAAGCTAGGCCAACAAAATGTTTTAAATTAAGGCATCTGCATGACCTGACAATTCTGGAACCTGATCTGTAAAACTAAGGCTGCTTGGGATAGCTACAGATCGTGAGCCTTTGCCGGGTATATGGGCCACCCAGCTTAGAGCAGGAGAACTATTTTTCTGTTTTTAGGTATTAACCTAACCTGCTGAAAGGCCGTGGAGAGCAAGGGTGTCCACCCAGGGCGTTGGTGCAGAGTAATTAGTACTAGTGCACACAAGTGACTCTGCCCTAGCAACCCGGGGCTTTTTCCCTGTGTAGACAAGCCCTATTAGTAACAAGATTTTAAAGATGGCTAGAATGAGGCACAGATTGGTTAAGCGATTTGCCCAAGGCCTTGCAGTGCGTCAGTGGCAGGGCTAAAACTAGAGCTCAGAAGTTTTTGTTTTCCAGTCTCTTGCCACTCCCTTCCCGTCCCCCACCCTGTACAGCACACTGACAGAAAGAAGGAAAGTGCCAGACCAGTAGGATACAATGAAATCAGCAAGAGGCAATGCTGATCACTATCAGCGTCTGTGGCAATTAATGAGCACATTCTCCTCTCACAGTAAGTTCCGGAAAACTCTCCTAAGCCATCCAAAGATGCCTCAGGAAGTGCCAGGAATGGACGTCAGCCCCATTCACTAGCATCCATCCCTGATGCCAGGACTTCGTAAGAGATGCAGATGGAATATATCTGGCAACCGCGCCAGCTGGCCAGTGCAGCGCTAGCAGTGAAGATGGCCATCGCAGGCTGTACGCTGCACTCTGCCTCGCTGGCGCGCTGAGGAAATATGCAGGGCCGAATTCAGTGCATGTCAGGAAGAAGGATGCTTTTTTGGTAACTGGATGGATAAATGGATTCCCCCAGGAACTGCAACACCCCAGACATGAAATATTCCTAGAAGAGAGAGAGAGAAAAATTGGAGTCCCTTTCAGGCAATACCCACGTGTTAGCTTTTTACCACACACAAGGCAAACCTCTGCTTTCAGCCTGCCAGACTTTCTGATTAAGGAATATCAAAGAACTAAGGGTCCTTAAGAGAATGCAGAAGCCTGTGTGCCTCCTTGTAGTGCATAGGAACGGAGTAGCATCCCTTTAAATATTCTGTGAGCCCTCTAGTGGTGCTTACTGTGTTCTATGATGTAGAAGCTGCCAGAAACCAACCAGAGCAGCAGGCTGTATCCAGCTAGGCCTGCCATGTTTGTGTGTATTTAGTAAACACAGTTGTGTGAGACACACACACACACACACACACACCCCGCCAGGGCCCATGAGGGATTGTTTTGTTGTGTAAAGAGCAAATGACACATCACTCTTCCATCTCAACTGAACCAAAAAAAATGGCAGCTGCTTCCAGCAGGGAGCAAAAGGAATGCAAATTGTCCGTACACAGAAAACAAAACACACCCGTTACATAGGAGATTCTGGCTAGTACAGCGTAGGCAGGGATTGGCCTAGGGACGTGCGCATTTCAAACTACCAACCGCACCCCGTTGCCCACAATTCCTCCAGGACCCAGAGTGAAGAAACGAATCCAGAAATGGGGAGAGTCCAGGACAGTCTGCAACAAAGATAAATCAGAAGAGCAAGAGGGCAGGATTTCCCCAACATACCAAGACACCCTTTAGCCCTTGAGGAAAGATATTAATTCTGACACTCTCCACCGGGCTGTGTATCTCTGTGTGGCTGTGGGGAGCCGACCCAGAGTGGTAGCAGTAGTCTAATGGTTCAAATCTAGGATTGGGAGTCAGGGGACCTGGGTCCGCTTCCCAGTTTCGCCACTGACTTGGTGTGTGATCCTGGGCAAGTCACTTTACTGCCCTGTGCCTCAGTTTCTCTACCTGTAAGATTTGTATTTATTTGTTGTCAGGTTCAGTAAAGCGCTTGGGGATGCTTGGGCGAAAGGCACTAGAGCAGGGTGGAGTGGGGTTATTATTTAGCACATATTATCCCCTCGAGGACCAGGTGGACTCCCCTTCCCTTCCCTAGGGCAGCCTCTCTGTCTCTCTGTCTTTTATTTAATCGTGGTGTAATCCTGATTAGTTACAGCCTGCTCTTGTTTCTCCACAAAGCCATGTGGGCAGCACCACTCACGCGCCGCTGTCTGCCTTAGCCCTCTGATGGTGAGCCAGAGCAGGAGGAATTAACCACTGAGCTGTCTGGCCGCATCTCCAACAGGAAGCTGTTCCGCTTACGGCCCAGACAGCAGGCTTCAAGGTGCCTGCAGGAGGATGTCATTGTCTCGACATGTGGGGTGGGGGAGGGGGGGCAGCTGCGCAGGGAAGAAAGGGGTGGGAGAAAGAAAGAGCACATAGCAAAAAAAACAAAAAAAGGAGGGGAGGGGAGCAGGAAGAACAGAGAATCCAGCCGTTGGCACTAGCAACTTCAGAAAGGCTGAAATAAACCAGCCGAAAGGAGCAGGCAGGCTCAACCCACCCATTGACTGTAGTGGAGTCACCCCAGGGTTGTCCCATCAACGATCCACATTTTGTGACCACCTGAAAACCAACGCCAGCTGCAGCAGCAGAGGTGTTGCTACATTCCCTGGGCCCAGGCTGGGGGACTGAGTGACAGATGTGTGGCAGGCATGGGTAGGCTTGTCAGGGTGCCGTATCACATGCATCCACGTCTCCCGTTTAGCATCCAAGCTGGGAGCATGATTCTCCACAGCCGTGTGCTGGCACTTGCACCGGCGTGAAGTGGGTGTAAAATGTCACTACTGCCAAAGCCCAGTGAAGTCAATGGAGTCATGCCACTGACTTCAGGAAGGGTCAGCTGAGTTGGGGACTCTGATGTAGTCGCCTCTTTTGCACTGAACTGTGCCAGAGGGCAAACAGCCACACAAGGCACAAGGCGGGGGAGAATCAGGCCCACAGCGGTGCGCTGAGCACGTGCTCCCCTGCACACATCCATGAGCAAGTGCAAGGGAGGGCTTTGGTTTGCCGTGTGCTTGCGAGCGACACGTATGGATGTGAGTGTGCATTACACGGGCCACATGTGGAAATCCTAGAGGGGGCTTAAAGGGGAGGCAAGACTTGAGCGCAGTATTAACTGTGGTGTCAGCCTGAAGCCAAGCAGTCTGAATCCATTTTAACGGGGCCTGGGATTCCTGCCCTCTCCTAGTGCCATGTTCTGTCCTAGAGCAAGTGCACCTCTGAGCACAGAACCGGACCTTTGGCTCTGAAAGAACAATGCAGCCATGCATGGTACACAGCAACGATTCCAGCTCCCCCGCCCCCTTTAGTGCTGGATTCTGAACCTAGAAAGATCACCTTTTGATGGGAAAGCCTAATCTTGGGGAACCAGAAAGTGCACAGCCTGTGTAGTGTGCCAGGAGTTATCACCCAAGCTCTCTTTGGTGGAACATTGTCTTCTAAGGGGAGAAACAAACAAAAGGAAGACAGATGTATGGTAACCTCAGCCAGTTGAGTTTCTGCAGGTGGCCCAGAGCCAGCTGAGCTCTCCTGAAGTTCCCACAGCCAGCTCTGCTCTTGGGAGGGTCCTTTCACCCTCTTTTGCAGGAGTCCTGGGTCTGACCTGGTCTCTAAAGGACCTCAGAGCAGCTATGTCCTTTGAGGGCCTCAAAGGCTCCAGCTGAGTTCATGTGAGCTTCCCACCTTTCCCATCACTGAGGACAGACAGGGTAACTTACCCTAGCCTGTCTAGGTGACGCTGAGGAAATGATTTGCTAATGAAACGTGACATTTTCAACTTCTGAAGCCTGCTTAATCAGAACGACCTCTTCCACTTTCAAGTGGTTTGGGCTGCAATGAGCAGTAATTAAGGGGATTTTCCAGGCCGGTTCCTCTGCTTTTCAAGCCAGGCTGACTTCTCTCCCTCTGATGTTTAGCTTGGGTGGCGTTTGGCCACCAGCTGTGAGCAGGTAGTGCCTGTGCATCCAGCAGCACATAGGCCTTTGCTATGCTGACTGAGATGAAGGGAGAGCTGCGGGAGGTTTTCATCTTTATGGTTCTCCCCCACCACCTGTGTGATTTTCCCGGTGATTTCCCCAAACCTACAACAAAGCTCCTGGAGCAGATCCTGCTCTCAGTAACATCAGTATAAATCTAGAGTGACTCTCTTGCAGCATTACAACCCCACTGTGCCTAAGAGCAGAACTGGACACTGGAGCGCTCCCGGGGACTACTCAGGGCCAAAATCCTCGTCAGCTGGATCTACGGTGCTGAATCATGCCTGCGAGCACATTGTTTTGGGCATGGGATTGACATTGTCCTTTCCTTCAGACAAGGGGCTGGGCTAGGCATGGCTTTCA